AAAGCACATCGGATTTTTATAGTGGTTCGGTCAAACTATGACCTACGTCCACTCCCCGGAGTCCTCCGCTCCGGGAATTTCACTACAAGCAATAGCTCTCCTTTTGCCCCCCTTGGCAACGCGGAGAAGCCCTTACAATACTCCCTTTCACCAACTCGACGTGGCGGAGTGCCAAACTCTGTTTTCACCCTCCTGGCGACGGCATAGAACCTTCTCGTTTTTCTCCCTCCTGGAGAAGACAGAGTACCTCGAGGTCACGAATGTAGAAGAGCCTTCCCCTTGGAGATCCTCTCACAAATTCTTCTAGGGCCACAAGAGGAGCAAGATGCAGCAAGTTCGGAGCAACCGTGTGATCTCCCTCACACCTCTTCTCCCTACAACGCTCACCTTCTCCTTCCTCTCTCAAACTCTAAAGAACTTCTCAAGAGCTCTCTCCCTTGGAATCCCTCTCTAACCACGTTCTCCTTTCTGATTCACCCTCTGAAAACATAACTATTTTGACACCTAAAAACGGGCTCCAAAATTCTTGAAATTTCAAAGTAGCTGTTACTATAGTACAGTACAATTTCTAATCGTACAGTACGATTACGAAGATGTACGAACAATTCAAAATAAATCGTATAGTACGATAATCGTACGGTACGATCCTCAACATTACTGAACGTACAGGACGATAACCGGGACGATCAAATGTCGTCTATGTTCATCGTATTGTATGATACGTATCGTACAGTACGAATGGTCAAAATCAAGGCATTGTCCAGGACGAATTCTGGGACGATCAAGAGTCGTCTCTGTTCATCGTATAGTACGATCTACATCGTACTGTATGACGAGGCAAAAACAATGGATCGTCCAGGACGATCTTCGAGATGATCAGAATTCGCTCTGTTCATCGTATTGTACGAACGGTTTCATACAGTACGATATTCAATTTGAAATTAAGCCTTAAATTATTCCACTAATCACAGGTTAATTTAAGTAAGTATTTAAAATAAATCGTACAGTACAACATACGTCGTACAGTACGAACGACGGATAAAACTTACTTAAGTTAATTTGACGGCTAGGGTTTTGGATTTGAACATATCAATCATTAAAAAAGCGGACGAGGCGTCCGCATTGAGTCGCGCCTCAAGTCGAGGCGGAAGTCATGCATATCAGGGCTTACGCCTCGAACCATCCAGTGAAGCGTACGATTTTTTCGCACAAGGCGTACGCATTAGAGCGTAGCGCCTTGAGGCAGTATGAGGAACCGCCTCGAAATTTTTTCTTCGGTATATATGTAAATACGACGCAGCCAATTCGTGTTTGTGTATTCGCGTATATGATTAGGGCTTCCTGTGAGAATTGAAAGGCGAACTAGAGGCGAAGCCATGAGGGAAAGAGACGAAGCTGTGAGTGCAGGAGACGAAATGAATCCAAAAGCAATAACGGTTTCGAAAGAAGGAAACGAAGCTGAAGTTGTGAGTGCAGGAAACGTTCAGGCCTCGGTTAGGTTGGAAGAGCAGGTGAGCGGTGTTATGGCCTTGATTTTGAGGTGCAGTAACGAAAGCTTGAATAACTCCTGATTCGGCTTTCTTTCATTCGTCCGTTCAGTACATGCTCGGTACCGAGCAGGTACAAGCTCAGTACCGCTTAGTACATGCTCGGTACTGCTCAGTATATGCTTGGTACTGCTAGGTACATACTTGGTATCGAGCCAGCACCGCTTGGTACCGAGCAAGTATATGCTCGGTATTGAGCGGTATATGCTAGGTACCATTAGGTACACGCTCGGTATCGAGCAGTATATGCTCGGTACTGAGGTTACATGCTCGGTACGGAGCGGTACATGCTCGGTACTGAGCGGTACATGCTCGGTACTGAGCATATACAACAAACATAATTTCAAAATTACTCTTATAATAAGTGCCCCTGGAAACCCCTACAGGGGCGCTGCCCCTTGACCCGGCGACCTGACCTGACACGTCGAACCCCGCCAGGAGGCAGTGCCCCCTTGGACCCCCGGCAGACTGATACATTTTTGTAATCATGTTGTTTTATTATTTGTAGTACAAATAATTGTTAAAATCTGTCATATTATTAGCATGACTAGTGGTACAAGAAGGAAAGATCCTGCATGAAAATATGGAACTCAAGTTGAAGTGTCTGGCGAAGGTGCAAAGAAGCGTTATGTTTACATGAAATGTAATTTCTGTGAGAAACGCTATATTTGCTTATGAAGAATGAGATAAAAGTTCATGGGCAAAAAAACAAGAAGGAAAACAGGTAAAAAAAATTGTTATGAAAGATGATTCATTTTGGTGCAGTACAAATTATGCTTTGAAGACAACAACACCATTAGTTTAGGTGCTTAGAATGGTTGATGGTGAGAGGGCCCCGGCTATGGAATTTATTTATAAAGCAATGAATAGGGCTAAAGAAGATATTACAAAAGATTTGGGAGGTCAAGAAAGTGCCTACAAAGAAATATGGGATATTATAGAATAAAATTTTGTTCCGGGGGCAGCGCCCCCTTGGACCCCCGGCAGACTGGTACATTTTTGTATTCATGTTGTTTTATTATTGGTATTTGGTAGTACAAATAATTGTTAACATCTGTCATATTATTAGCATGACTAGTGGTACTCTTTACTTGTTGATGATTTACAATCTGATGATGAATGAGTTACTCCTAAGAATGTTGATGTTTTTGAAGTTGAAGTAGAAGGAGAAACTCAAGTCAATGAAGACATTGAAGCAACTACTCATATATATAAAATAAAGAAATAACGTGAGATTGGAGCTTCAAAAAAATTCAAAAGTATTCTTAAATATAATGAATTATTTTTTTATACTATTATTGTTTCATTCTAGAGCTAATGAAATATTAGCTTATATAGGAGATAAAGGAAAAAAATATTATAGATGAAGAAGAGTTTGAGGATGACTTCGACATTAATTATGAAGATTCTTCTGAAGAAAATCAATGTGATGATGAGCCTGCATTGGGTCTTGATCCTAAAGGGATGTTTTATTTTTAAGTGAGTTTATTTTAAATCTTCTTTTCCAGTAATATACTAATATTATCTTAGAACAAATCATCAAATTCACAATTGACGTAATATTTTGTTATTTTTTTTTTGACATTTTTGTCATTTTCATAATTTTAAATTGCTTTATTTTTATAATTTTTTAGGCTTACGCCTCGCCTCGCTTAGCCAAAACGCCTCTATTCCCGATTTCGCCTTTTAAAATGTTGGAACATATCGTACAGTACAAGTTTGATTCGTACGGTACGATCTATTCACAAAATCGTCCTACAAGCTCAGATAGTACGGTACGAAATAACGTCGTACAATACGATCTACAGAGATAGAAAATCTCCAAATTTTTCTTTTAAAAAACCATCTCCCCCTGTGTGTGTGCATGGTTGCTCAGACATTTATGCATTTTGTGGCCAGACTCAAGAAAATAAAAATAAAATAAATAACAAAATACATTGTCAGACTCATAATCTACCCATTCTTGAGTCTTCCTGTCGTCCTGAATAGCTTGTGATCTTCCTGAAATGTTAGTACTCACAGACAATAGCAAACAAAATAATATTCAATGAATAAATAATTCAGACGACATTATTTGTCATCATCAAAATCTCAAACTCGGGATCATGAGTTGCAACAATGAATCCCTAGAAAATTGCAATTTTATACATGGTGAGGCCTTTGTGGCATCAATTAGTTAAACAAGTTTGCTTGAGGGCTTCTTTATAACACCTATTGCACCTTGTTTTCCATTTGGAATAATAGAACTAATTTCTCATCAAACACATTCATATCTTGATTAGGCATGTCACCATCATCACCATTGTTTGAATCTCCACTCCTTTCTTGTAGGTCCATTGAGAGTACAAAGTTAGGTGTTCAAGCTAAATCTGTTGTGGCAACAATTTTAGCATACATCTTCATAAGCTTCTCCTCTAGTTCAAGGCAAATACCATTACTCTTCAATTTGTTGGAAGCAACATAACCATATAATTCAAATGTTATTAATTATATATCAAATTCACAATGTTTTGACTACTAATGTTTAAATTCCAAATCTTTAACTTTTCCTTCCATCATTCATTAGAGAAAGGAATTATTCTTCTTTGAAAATCCCAACCTAGGACAATTGAATCTCGTTTTAAATCATCGTGCAACTTTTGATACTTTAGTTGATCTTATTTATTCTTAAGTTGTGTTTTATAATGCTATATGATGAGGACATCAGAGATCAACGGCTATGATCTGGAGTTTATTTTTTATGTGTTTTATGTACTAGTTTATTTTTTATTTATATTTTTTCCATTTTACCCTAGGGGTGGTCATATGGTGTTGTAGCCCGAAGGACATTTTAGTCATTGTTTCTTTTCTTTTCATGTGGCCTATTTATAGGCTAGTTCTCTTGTATTTTGGGTTAATGATGAATAGGAAAAAAAATTTCAGCTTTCTTGTTCTTGATCTCTTTGTGAGTTCTTGAGAGGAGAAATCCTAGGAGAGGGCCACGCATCACCCGTCAGCAGCCAGTGGATTCCGGGACTCGCGGTTAGTACTCATAGTATTTTCTTATTGTCTCTTCCTTTCCCCTACATCCGTCCACCTCTTCTTCCCCAAACACCCGCCGGTCACTTCAAGTCTCCAAGCCGCCGGTCAACCTTAACAAGATCCCTTCCACTTAACCTACAACCCTTCCTCCTTAGCCAAACGCCACCCAAACCCCAAACCCTAACCGCCGGCCTTCCCCTCCCATGGATCCAAAATTGATGGTTTTGCCTCTTTCCAAAAGTGGAGCATTAAGATTAGGAGGGAGCTCCAACCATATTAGGAAAGTGCTCAATTCGTGGATCTAAGTTACCTAGCCCAAGTCCTTGGCCGCCGGCTTGAAGCCTCCACCCGCCGGCCCCTTGCTCCACCACCTAAAGCTGCCGGCCACATCCTTTTCCCCCACAATAGCCATCGACCACATAATTCCCTCAAAACTTTTGAATTCAAATCCACTATAAATGCTTTCTTAATTTATCCCCACTAATTTTGGATGATAATTAAATTCAAATTCAAAATATTTGAATTTAAAAACTCTTCTTAAATTGTCCTCCTTTAATTTAGAAAAACCCGCAATTAACTTAAATCTGAAATTAATTTCAAATTTAAGTATTCAATACCTTAATTGCTTGGGCCCACCTCCTTAATACTTAACCCCTCTCTCTCTCCTCACTCCTTGGCCGGCCCCTTCCCCCTCCTCTCTCTAATTAATTAGGTCCCATAAATTAAGGATCTAATTAATACAATCATCTCCCCACTTTCCCTCCCAATTCCCCAATTATTTCAAATTCAAATTTCAATTAAACATAGCCCTAATTACTCATCAAATATGAAATTTATTTCAGAATTAATCCTACCCTTTCCCCACCACCAAACTTTAGAATTCAAGTCCCAATCTCAAGCCTCTTCCCCACCCCATTGCTTGGCCGAACCCCTACCTGCCCCCTCCCTGACCGGAACTCTTTTGCACCTTATTGGGTGCTGTCCAGGATCTATCCACATCAACATCGCTGCTGTCCTGAAGTTCTGCACCTCTTCCTGGCTGTTCCTTGGTGCAAGAAGGCTCGTGGTTGTTGTCCACTTCTTTCCCAGCTTTCAAACAACCTTGTTGGAGTGCGTTATCTCTCTTGTCTTTGGGTAAACTCGACACCCGACTCGCTATCTTCATAGTTGCATCCTTGATTGTGATTTTACTATATTCATGAAGATCATGTTAATGCTTCTCCGCTAAAACCTAATAATTGGAAGAGTTGTGTGAATGATCTTCTTGTAGTGACTAATCTCAAGCCCAAATAAAAAATTAAAAGTACAAACTAGCATATTTTGAAATTAAAAAATAATGCTGATATAGACTAGGAACATAAAGCTTTCATGAACTTCAGGTAACTAATGATTAAAAAAAATGCTAAAATGAAGCAAAAATGAATATGAACTTCTTGTTTATAGGTGACAGAGACCACTTTGTTGGATGTGAGTTTCAGCCAAGATAACAATTTTATTAATCTTGTATGGCTGTTCAGATCTTCATGGTTGAACAAACTAAAGAATTACTAATGATTATTTTAATTATCATTTCAATCTTTATACCATACAATACTATACCAAACAAACAAATATTCTTATTGGCATGATTACTTTTAAATAAGATCGACACGTATAGTATTAGTATGTTTCGAATTACAACAAACTAATTGATCCATATTTCATGATAGAGTTTTAAGGTACCATTAGTGATGTACTTGAGTGATTTTCTTCTACTATTACATTTTGCATGCAAGGTTGTTTTTAAAAAGTTCTAATCAGTGAAAAGATAGGTTAAGGCATACAAAAAAAATTATCGTATGTTTTGTATAGCACCAGAGAAAAAGAGCTTTTATTCTTAATTAACTTTAGAAAATAAACAAGTAAAATATATCACAAAACTTATTTTGCTTATACAAGAAAGACAAATTAAAGCAAAAGGAAAATTAGTTAATCCCTAAACAGCCCCTCATTCAAAATTTCTTTCCCAAACCTTGTTCATTCTTTTAATATATTTGTTGTTGTTAGATTAGCTAAATGCTATTGGATTCCTTTTAGCTGGACTTTCTCTTTTATAATTGAAACTGTTTCTTTATTTTAAAATTAAGATAGATTTCTTTGCAAGTAAAGAAAACTGTCGTTTATGTTTCTCCTGTTGTTTTCTGATCCTTTTTTTTGAGTTTGCAGGGCGTCAGAGTTTCAAAGTAAAGATGGTGCATATCTTCAGATGATGATGTCATATAGTCCAGCAGCAAAGCATTTTCTTTGCATAGCAAAGTGGGCAGATTGCAGCCTTGGTGTGGCCCTTGGACTTGCCGGCGCTTTTGGACTTCTCAGGGTATTGATTTGTGAGGTATGTATCTTCTTCTTTCATATGTAAAGGCTTGACAATTTTTTTCAGTATAGTAAATTACGGCATTTGGGCATATACTATATCTTCTCGGTGATCTTTATTTCTTCACAAAACCTCATGATTTACTAGAGCCGTGTTGATGGAAGAGGAGCCAAATCAAAATGTGTAAAGAAAGCAAGTATTAAGGAATTTTATTGTAAGCTGATTGATTTATGAACTGAAACGTTTGTTTTTCTATTTAGGCTCTGTGTGGGACGGCTTTTTTATTGCTTCTTAAAACGGAGTTTTAGTAAAATTACTGAAACTCCGTTTTAAGAAACAATAAAAAAGCCGTCTCAACGAAGCTTTAATCACACTTTTCTTTTACTGATGGCCTTGATTTGGCAGCTGTTATCTTTCCCTCGTTGATTCAGATGCAAAAAGGGATCGCCGTAATAGAAGATTATAATCGAATGCCATTATGTATAGAGAGAGGAAGAAAGATAGCTGATGCTGAAAGGAGGCAGTTTTCAGAATTGGATATTGAAAGAGATGAGGAATGTGGCATATGCATGGAGTTAAACGGCAAGATTGTAATTCCCAACTGCTGCCATGCAATGTGCTTCAAGTGCTACAGCAACTGGTACTGAGCTCAACACTATTTTAAACAACAGTATAATATTGCTACCTTACTTCATCCGTTTGCAACATAATCTTTGTCAGTGCTGTATCAGTTCTTTCATTCAAATTTTAGTGTCTCTTTCTAGGATCCTCAATTCAAAGAATAATTTTGTGGGATGGGAACAGCCTACCTGATCAAAGAAATACTTCTGATCTTAACTATAAGTTGGAAGCACCATTTTCAGCAACAATGGCCGCCTAGGTGTTCTCAATGATTTTCTGCCTGCATAAGCATAGAAAGAAATTATTGATAATTAACTACATGGGAAATGTTTGAGGGAAATAGTTGTGTTACGTTGTTCTTAGGACTTGTGGCTAATAGGATCATAGAATGTTTGTGTTTGAAAGATGACCATTGTAGATCTCTCTGATTTTCTTTATTTGCGATTCCTTTGAAAATAAATTAGGTTGTATGATGTTTTCTGTGGTGTGGACTTTCTAGATGATCATATTATACATGGTAGATGAGTGGATACATAGAAATGATGACATTGTTTGTCATGCGTCAAGAAAATCATAATCATCTTCTTATTCACTCAGAAACCATCCATCTAGAAAATTTTGATGCATTCAATTGGTGATCAAATTATCCTAAAAGTTCTTGTGATCAATTTGTCTCCACTTTAAATATTATATCAATTGTTTTCGGTTTCTTTTTTAATCTTCACTTATCTATTCGATTTAATTAACCAGAATAGTGAGCAATCAGGCTAAGGAGTCAATGGTGGTGAGCAATTTGATGTTGGCAAATGAGTTGAAGGTGGTGAAGGCATTGTCCATTAGCAGGAGGGGGGAGAAGGAAAGCTTAACACATTAGCTTAAGGAATTGAGGGAGATGTTAACTTGAGAGAATGTAATGAGTTTATGATCTTTTACTTTTCATTAATCCCTTTAACGCGTGCTTATTTATTAACATATCTTCTTATAAGATTTAATATAAAGTAGTTGACTTGGTGAGCCAACGCTTGAAGTCCTAAACATCTTGAACTTAACTTATGGGTTTGTTAAACCTTGATAAAAAGCTATAATAACGAGCCAAGCTCCACAACCTCACAAGTCTGCTCGGCTCATTGAATCCCCTAGATTCAGTTATGTTTTGCAATCAATAAGAAATTTTTTGTGAAGTCTACGTCTTCTTCTTAGTTATTATTTTATATTTTCTTCCCCTTGGGTTTCTTCTTTGCACTTGAATATTAATTTACAACAAGTTACTCCTTTCCTTTAGGGTGTTGAACCAAATCTAAAGTTTTATTATTCTATAATGAGTCCAATTCCATAAACATAGTTTTCATCTGCTACTTGAATTCACTTGCACTGATGGCTTCCACAAAGCGGATGCCTCCTCATCATCAATAGACTTTACAGCATGCAGAACAAATGCAACCATATGAGAACGAAAGATATCCTCATAACCAGATCTCTGAGGTGTTCTAATATCTCTTGAACTTATGAGAAGTAATAGTTTTATCTGGTTATGGTGGTTTTACTTTCTCCCAATCTCTAGACATAGGAGGATGATGTGGTGAACTATCATCTAATTGTTCATGCTCAATCTCAAATTTGGCTTGTCTTCAATCGTTCCGCATAAATTATTAATCTAAATTGACTTATTATAAATCATGATTGATTCATTGATCTAGATATATTTGTTGGTTAATAAATCATGTTACTTTGGCATTACCAAAACAATCTATATTCCTTACTTGCATATTTAAGGAATATGCACATCTTAGCTCTCTCTTTGGCATGAGCATAAGCCAGACAGCCAAACACTTGGAATTGAATATATTTGAAGGATAAACTGACCACACATCCTAGGAGTAAATTCAATAGCATTAATTGTAGATCTGCTCACCAAATAGCTTTACAGTTTTACAACCTATGTGAAAAGGTCCTTATACCAACATTGTATAATATGCATCCATAACTAAGAGCTTCTTATTCATTCTTTATGCTACTCTATCCTGTTGATATGTACCCACTGTAGTCTTTTGCCTGATAATTCCTTCCTTTGGACAAAATTTACTGAAGAGAAAACTTCCGTTGTCAATTGTCACCCTCTTCATCTTCTGTCATTTTTGCTCCTCTCTTACTTTACTCTGATGGGCAACATTTGGACATATGATCAAGGCTTATGTGAGTCAATCATTTATGGAAAAAATTGACGGCACTTATCAATGTCCTCCTTTAAAGGGGTTAGTGTATTCCAAGTTTTTTTGCTCTCATCAAAATAGTAGCATTCCTGAGAACCTATAATTCTCTAGCTTCTATAGTGTATTTTAACTTATTGGAGTCCCAACTAACCTGTAATACTCTTAATAGGACACAATACAGTAAAAGAATTCATGTTGTTGACCTCACATTGTGGGATAAAAGCTTGAGGATGTTATTGTTGTTGTTGGAGTCCAACTATTTTGAAGAGAAAATTTTCTTAGAAGTTGGTGTATACCTGACCTCTCTCAAAGTCTTGGTCTAAACTCGTCCTATCCAATAATCTTACATCCCATATCACTACCCATAAGGACATTTTCACCATCGACCCACTCATAAGAAAAAAATAAACTAATCGTGAGGTCATGTGATATAAAAACATAGAATAAAGAATCAAATATTATTTTGAATATCACAGGAATGTACCAAGTGTCAAAACTAGATTAGAACCATCTTTTTGCTTCTTTACTTGATGGTTCTTTAGAGCTAGGATTTCTTTTCTTCTCCTTGTTTCTTGAGATTCTCTCTAGAACCTGTTTTAAGATTTCCATCATTCATGCTTCTTAGAGTACTGGTACTGTCCTTTCTTTTTGAGTTTCAATTTTAATCTTTCTTTTTCTATTTTATTTTTTGTCCAAAATTCTACATGGTCTCACAAGTATAACCCTCGATTGGGCTTTCATCTTGCACCTTTTTCCTCAAATAATTAGATAAAAGAGTAGACAACCTTGATCATGGAAATAAAATATTTCCTATACAACAAGGTAGTTGCAATGTGCTCATAAGAGGGTATAGAGCATTGCTTGATCGAAGTTTTATCTTCCTCTTTAATCTTCAAAATCAAGATTTGCTGGATCTAAGAGAAGCTTGTCATAGGCTTCTAAATGATTTGACAATGATATACCTTCCTCCATAAGGAATGCAAAAGTTTTTTCTCCAAATAGAGATTATTGGTGAGCGATTATTATTTAAATAGATTCCAATTTTTCATATAATTCTGTGATGTACATTGATATGTTATATTGTGAAGAACCTCCTTCTCCAACCTAAAGATACTTGAATTGAGTTCTTTTGGGTCCACCTCCTCTTTCTCCTTATCTATTTTAGATTGGGAATCCTTCACCTTTAAAGACTTGAGTACTCTTTCATTGAATAGAGATGTTCTTATCTTCATCTTCAGAAGGTTGAAGTTATTTATCTCATTAGGCTTCTCAAATTCAGAATTAATGGTGCCGGCTAAAGGTTTTTTTAATCCATTGGATGACACCATGTCCTAAATGCTTTTAAGATCTTATAATCGTTTTTTTTCAATTTTTTTTTGTGTAGAAAACCAAATTATGCTCTCTGAGAGCCCTAAAGAGAGCACTAAGACAAACATATCTAGCACCACACAAATGTGATATATAACAATGAAGAAATTACAGTGATAGCCATCAGAATTTATGTGGTTGGTCTAGAATGACCTTATATGGGGTGAGGGTACAAATAATCACTATCAAATTTATGCATAGGAGTACAAAATAGGAGAAGTAACGAACACATTAAATTCTCTTCTCAAAAAGCTAACAAGGAGATTGATGGTTTCATCAAATATTTGAGGGACTTTTCTTGAGAAAGCCCAAAGAGAAAATAGTTCCATTCTCACCAAATAACCAAGCAAAAGAAGCCCGACAACTCAAAATGCTTTTTGTGTTTGTGTCGTACGGAGACACACCTCTGGCATGTTTAAAGTTGTGCTGAAGATGTTTTAAGCCCAAGTTAGGGTTAGAGACGGACCAAATATGACTTGACATGGAAGATACAAGAATCTGACACGGGACACAATTTAACATTCACAGCCTTGCTGCTTATTGTTCTGTGTTTTGGTTTACAAATAAGTTTAATTTACTAGGAAAAACTCCTCACTTCTATGAATCATTTTCACTTTTGATCATTCAAATTCAGGGTTTCCAACCTTAACACTCAGGTTCATATTCTCTAATATTCAATGTTCGATGAGTCTAATGTTGGCTGTTTGATATTGTTACCTTATCAGTCAGTATCTTGGCTTCTCTTTGGCATTCTTAAAAGCTTTGCCTTATCTTATCAAGCCTTCATGATGAGTTTTGAGCTCTCTTAAACTATTCTTTCACTGAGCATGTCAAGAATCGAGCTTATTGCTCTACAGAGCATCCATCTCTTTCTTTCTATCCTTTTTGGTGTGTCTGATGGTAATGGCTTTAACTTTCTTCTTTAATATGTGATTCTTTCTTCTTTTTTATTTTTAATTCTTGTTAGATTATGAATTATTTTATCCATAAGATTTTATTTTGATATTTTAGAATTTCTAAAAAAAAAAATATTGATGTTGTTTTTTTATAAGATTTTAGTATATTTTTACTAGTAATATAATAATCTTAAATTTTTTTTAATTATATAATGATAGGAGAATGACTTTTAACTAATCTAATTGATAATTATCCTAATTGATAATTATCTCATAAGGGATATAACAGACAAGCATGGTAGTCGATAATCAGCATAAAATTGGTGGATGAGAAAAGTGGAGTGTTATATAGGTAGTCGATAATCAGCATAAAACCGTTAAACAATCATTTTCTAGAAGCTACACATTGAATTGCATGAATATATTGAAAAATGTGCAAGGGTCGTTGCATTGGCACGTGGTTGCAGTGTTATAAGCTAGGGTTCCCACATCAAGGATGAATGCGGGCAAAAATACTAGTCTATTAAACTAGAATTCTAATAAGAACTTGAAATGTAGGTTCTCCAACAAATTAATATAATTAAAAGGAGTAATAAATATTATGATTCTTAGGAAGATAAATATTCTATGTATTCATAAAATTAAATGGGTTGGAGAGAATGCTAATACATGAGATTAATATGTAATTAAGTGTCCAAATGGTTTTATATTTTGTATTTTTTATACATAAACCACTAATAATTTTTTTCTACTAAAAGAATTTTTATAGATTTTCCAAACAAAACCAATACTGCATGTATGTACATATAATGTGTTATGTGTGACAAAAAAATATGTAAATTAAAATTTTAAAAATATTTTTATTATTGATTTGCTGATTTTTTCCCAAAATTTCAAATATTATTCGATTCTTTCTACCGTTAACATTTTTTTATGTGCAATGTAATATTGAGTTATTTATCTTATATCAGATGATATTATGTTAAAAAAGAATATAGTTGCTTAAATAATTATCAATTTCATTAATATAAAATAAACCGCCAAATGGCTTGATTTTTTATTTTTTTTTAATTTTACGAAGCATTGCCTGAATTTTAAGGTACGTTCACTGATGCATGCACCTTATTACTAATATGTATATTTATTTATTGACACATGCATTCATTTTTCATATTTTTCTAAAGGTTTATATATTTTTCAGTGTGCATGTGTATTTATTTTTAAAAGTTTTCCATGACTGTTTTTTTTATAATTTATTGTTCATTTCTTTTTTCTTAACTTGATTTTTACCCATGGCAAAGGAATTATGCATTTTATGCTTTTGACGCATCATATCTGCATGTTGCTAGATTTGTTTGTATTTTTGTAAAGTTCAATATCACACTCTAATATGGGAATTAGTAACATTTCTTAATGATAATCCTGATCCAATTCACTTGAAAATGCAAGGGAGAATATCATGTAGAGATTTTTCCTGAAGTTTCAAGACAAACAGACTAACTTGTTAGTTGCTTCTCACTGGACTCTATTGAACATCCTTTTTCATTCTGCGATTGTTTCTTATGAGTTATGAGGAGCATTGCGAATCAGGATTCTTCTTTAGAGCGAACCTGATAAAATGTGATAAGATAATGATTAGCACATTGATCCAGTTCAACTAGAAGGGGCTAATTGATCAAACTTCCCTACGGCTGTAGCCTTTTCAATGCAGAGGAAGCATAAAATAGAGAATTGGTAGTTGCTTAGGAGGAGTCGTTTCATTCTGCTATTGTCTTTTATGAGAAGTATTGCGAACTAGGATTCCTGTTTTTGAGTGAACCTGATTAAATAACATGTGATTATCAAATTGATCCAGTTCAACAGCCTCTCCATGGAGAGGAAGCATAGATAGAGAGTAAGGCGTTCAAAAGCAAGGTTTAAAAATTGGTTTTATTCCCAACTTAGGCCTAGTTTGGGACGGCCTAATTAGTGAAAAAAACTTTGGGTCTTTGTTTTGAAGTCTAATTTTCGTAAAACTGTGTTTTTTAAACACTCATTATCTTACCGATTGCGAAAGCTTTAATTTTTTTGCTTCTCCATTAGTAAAAGGCTTTTTTGGAACAATCATTTCTCATCAAAATTTTACGAAAAGAATTCTGCTTCCAAACGAGGCCTTAAAGTCTTAAGATTCAGTTATTTCAATAGTTTTGTCAGTTTTGGGATTCAGTTTCGATTTCGGTTTGGTTACATTTTTACTATAAAAACAAAAAAAAAATATTTAAGACAAAATGAGGATGATTTAATTATGGTTCAAATTTCAAAACATGAAATTTGATAGGGCTTCAGTGATAAGAATTCTAATAAAGTATTGATGATAGCTCAACAATTTCAACCATGGTTCAGGTAAAACTCTTGAACTTCAATAATAACTTCATCAAAACCCTCGATTTTCCACTTGTTTTGCCACCCAATATCAGTATTTTGACAGACAAATAGGTTGACCATGAAAACTACAACGATTAATATAGAATTTTAGGAGAAAATAATCCAGTCCTTACTTCAAAACCATCATTAGAGGTCTCTCTTTATATTCCATCCAGTCCTTACTTCAGTAGACCAGCTGCAGCTGCTTAGCCTGTTTATAGAACTCAGAACCTTCTGCATTGCAGGAATTCGATACAACAATCATGCCCCTTCTGTCGTGAGAGCCTCAGCAAAGTGAAGCCTGATGACTTGTGGGTTTATACTGACGATAGGGATATTGTTGACTTGGCAAAGGTGACCACAGATGACCTGCAACGGCTATATTTGTATATAGATAAGCTTCCTTCAATGGGGGGACCTTCAGCTAATACAGTTCTTAATGTGGATGATTCACTTGAGAAGTCAAGCTCCACAAACAGGTTGATTCTTTCCACCAACTTGAATTAGGTTGGATTGATTTCTACATAGTTGCTCAACTTTTCGTTATTTTATAAAGCAGTTTTTAGTACAAAAATTTTTTGAACTAGAAGTTTTTGTATTAGAAATCTGCTTTAAAAAGCGGTAAGAAAGTTGTTCCAAACGAAGCTTTTATTTTATTTTTTATTTTAGCTGCTTTTTATTTATCAGCTATGATTAAAATTGGAATAGTAGTGCTTATCATAAGTTTATTGTTAGATGGTTGGTGTATAATCCTTGGTTTGATAGAAAAATTCTCTGTAGAGAGCATCTTCAAGCTCATAAGAAAATGCTAATTTTATGTATGTGGTAGATAAGAGTATGTAGGGTAATAAGTGTAATGGTTACTTTTTGTCTGATTTAGGCTTTGTTTGGGACGGCTTTCTTACCGCTTTTTAAAGCAATTTTCTAGTACAAAAATTTTATTTTTTTTACTAAAAAGCTGTTTTAAGAAGCAATAAAAAAGCCGTTCCAAATGAAGCCTTAGTGGGTTATTATGGGTCTTGATAGTTTTTAGGTTATTAGGTACTTTATGGGTCATTAAGAGTTATAATTTTATAAATGCTCTCTTATAGTATTAAGGCATGCAATAAATGAATTGAGCTAAATTACAGTTCAATCATCGATTATGAGTTTGTTTGATATAGTTTTTTTGCTGCTGTTCTATTTTTCAAATAGTAATCATGATTTTGTTTGGTTACTGTTTTTTCACTGTTTGTCAGAAATTTTTGTAGTGTGATGTTAGTTTTTGCAATCATATTAGCTAAGTTATTTTCACCACAGTAATTTCACATCGTTGCAAAAGTTTTGGCGGAATCTTGGCATTCTTAGTAATCGGAGAATGTTGTAGTTTTAAGAGAATAAATCTGAATTATATATTTTATAATTAAATGGGATTTGCTTAAATATCATATAATATATAAAATTTAAAATTTAATTTTTATTTAAATAAAATTTTAAATTTAAAGTAATATTAAAACATTATTAAAATTAATTTTTAAAAATAAAATATTTTTAATACTGTGGTGAAAATATTTAAATATTAAAATTTAGATATTATATAAAAGAATTATATGGTAGGTTTATAAATTCTCGTAAAGAAAGAAATTAGGAATTGATCATTGATGACGTAATCCAAAGGAAAATTGAAGGCGTCATTTATTATTTTTAATAACCTTTTGTGTTAAGAAATTATTTTTATAATAATTTTGAAAAAAATATTTTCTGTATAATAACTTTACAGTTTATTTTTTATAAAAATTTGTTGTCGTACCAAATGGAGATATTTCATAGAAAATAATGAAAAATTTTAGAATTTTTTCACGATAATTTTTTTTTTGAGGTAACAATTTTAAATTTATTTAGATTTTGTTCATTATGATTATAAAATGCTCTTTCACCACATAATTTTTTAAAAGCTGTGAGAAAGTAGTCGTTAAATGTAATTATGATTATTATTTGAAAAGTAAATCAGCTTGGAAGCTCCCCCAAACATACTCTTAGTTATTATTTTATTGCTATTTTTTCATTATTTTTAAAATTTTTTTTGTGCTAAAAAGTTGTTGTTTTACTATCAAAGTAATTAAGTTATAATTTCATAATCAACTTTATAAAATATTGGAATTAGATCCCAAATTATTGGTCTATTTAGGATGTCAAATGAGTGGATCTAACAAATCAATTTGAATTTAATTAAAAAATTTTGGATTTGAATTAATTCAATTATTATTTGGGTTATGTTTAGATCTTGAATTTCGACTAGATTAATTTTGAGTAGAATTCAGGTTGATTCAAAATTTTGAAATTGAATTATTTTTTTATTTGGGTTTTGATTAAACGAGTTGGTTTCAGGTTAAATGGATCATATTTGAGTTAATTGAACATGTTGATATAAAAAAGTTGTATTATCTATATAATTAATAGTTTGTTCGAGTTATACGGGTTCAGGCCGATTTCGATCCAGGTCAAATATTTTCACCCGTATAGTAAGTGGGTCGTATTTAGGGCAACTATATTCAGGTCTTAGACTGACGCCCATAAGTCTACATATTATAAATTTTTCTAATTGTTGCAAGCAATTATGAACCCTATAATAGAAATATAAAATGTTGTTTGAATCTAATTGTTCCATGGAAAAAAGGACATAGTAGCATATCATGGCTTAATTAAGGCTTCGTTTGTGACAAATTTCTTACTGTTTTTTAAAATGTTTTTTAAAATAACTTTCTAGTACAAAAAATTTTAATTTAAAAAATTTTTGTACTAAAAAATTGTTTTAAAAAACAGTAAGAAAGTTATCCTTTGTACTTTTGCTTATTCAAAATTATGATAATTAATCTCTTCTAACAATAATAATAATAATAATAATAATAATAACAGCTTACAATTCAAGTAAAAGGTTGATAATATAAATTGATAACAATACTCAACAACAAATTTTCTTTAAAAAAAAAATCAGAGTACTTTTTGACAAAATTAATAAATTTATATTATGATGATTAATAATATTTGAAAAATTAACTAAAATATATATTATACTTATCTCAAAATAAAGCTAATGATTTTACAGCTAATTCTAATAACAAATTTGATCATAACATCCCAAGCCCTTTTTTTTTCTCTTAAAAGATTTCAAAGCACCATTTTAAATCAAAATAACAAAAGAATCCATATTCAACAAGTTCACATGAACAAGAGATCCCCTTCATTTTGACAACCTAAACTAGTAAATGGAATGTATAAAATATGCAGCTCATGTTAGGCTTCATTTGGGACGACTTTCTTACTGCTTTGTAAAGTTATTTTTTAGTATAAAAAATTCTTTGAAAGCAGAGAAAAAACAGTGATCTAAAACCATCCTAAACGAAGCCTTGAAACGGTCTTCTTATTGCTTCTTAAAGTTGCTTTCTAATTCAAAAAAATAAAATTTTTGTACTAGAAAGCTGCTTTAGAAAACAATAAGAAAGCCGTCCCAAATAAAGCCTTAATCTGTTGGTTGAAAGTTTTGTCTACGAACCAAGAGGTTTTAGGTTCGAGTTTTGTGTATATGATGTGTATGTTAATTTGTCTTAATTAGTCTATAAATGTCCCAAAAATGAAAAATAAGATGAAATGAATCACAGTTGTTAGGACTTCGGAAGCCTCACATTCCAATAATCATTCTTCAGAGATGGATGAGCTGCGCAGATATATGGTGAATGTTTTACCTGGTTTCTTAGGAGAGGAAGCCTAGCGGGAATATAGTCATCATCACTGTCATAGTAATTTCCACGATATGGACCAACAGATTTCAGAAGTATGGCCAGGAAAATAGATAACGCCTGGAGAAGCAAACTTCAGTTAAGAGACTGGTGGCATATTAAAGGGAAAAAAAGTTCAAAATAGTTTAGCAACTATTCATATGCAGTTAATTTAAGCTTTATTTGAGACAATTTTCTTACTATTTTATACAGTAAGTTTTTAGTACAAATATTTCTTGAAAACAATGAAAAAACAATGATAAAAAACTGTATCAAACAAGAGAAATTATTACGTGCAGTCACTGGATGCCCGAGTGTAGAGGCCTACGATCGTTTTGTCCTATGGGATAGTGCGGCCGTACCCTCTGCGTTCGTACCCCACGAGCGGTGCTCTTTCGGAGGTCCACAACAGCACGTCACCATTTGTTGTGTACCAGTGCTGTGTACCACTGTGTACCAAGGTGACATGATGCATTCTGATTCGCCTCTGGACCGTTCGGTGACCGCACGTAATAATTTCTCCCCAAACAAACCATTAATATCATATTATAACATTTCACCTATTTAGTTACTTGATTATATATAAAATTGATCCCAAAATATAAATAGATAAAATTGAGATACAAAATTGTTCCCAGTTTAATACATAAGCAATTTTGGGGGATCAATTTTGTCTAGTTGAGAAAATAAAATGGAGAATTATGATACTTAGGGACTACATTGATCACAAATGAATAATCTGAAGATTATTTTAAGCTTTTTTTCTCTATGAAAGAGTGTAAGTACGTACCAAGGAAATTGTTGGCAGGAACTATATAGAGAAAAAAAGTAGCATGATACAGTTTATGATTGTATAACATGTATAAAAGGTAGCCTGAAAGTTCTAATGAATGTAGAAAAAACTAGGATGATATGTACAGTAGGGTTTACTGTGTATACAGTTACAGCACTTATTTCCTTCTATGGAGAAGGTAAATACTGTACATGAACTGTAACACAGTTCCTGGACTTTGAACATTGCACTTAGACTATTATATTCCATCCCTACATGGAATGGTAAACAGGATTTGAGGACTGTAAATATGATCCTCTATTGTAAAGATATTTTTTATTTTTGATTTTTTTTGTTGATGGTGGGTTGGGGGATTGTGGGCTCTGAAAATTTGGCACCGGCCTCTCCCCTACTTTTCTTCGGGGGAGTTTTAACGGAATTAAGTTCCGAGGTAAATTTTGGGAAGGCAAATGGGTTTGTAGATAAGACACTACCCAGAGATTTTGCCCTCATTTTGTGAGAACTTTATAATCTGAGTTCTAGTTTTCTATAGGCACAAGCCCCTATAGTTAATTACCCCTCTCGATCACGAGAGAACTTTCGATTAAGGCTAGTCGTCAATCATATACGTAGATAATACGTGTTATCTGGCATATAGTAGCAGCATGAGTTTAGGGTGTTGGAAGTTTGATATTTAAAATAGAAAATTTCACCATCTTGTACTTAAAGCGGATGGTGGGGGAATGGATGATAGACCCGATCAAGATCTCATGGTTTCATCGTCCCGGCCATCGTGGTCCCTGGTCTACTTAGTCAGAGGAGTTAGTCAACCCAACTTGACAGAAGGATCCTTGTCGGCAGCTATGGGTTGCTTCATCTAAGAGAACCTTGTAGACCTGGGGGGGTGTTTGTCTAAAAAGACAAATTTAAATCCACCTTAGCTAACAGAGGGCTTTGTGCCCTATCGATTATACTCTATTGATTTATAGCTTAAGGATTTGATGCTACTAAGGAACGTATTAACTCTGACTATAACTGGTATCTCGTGGTGTCATTTGACGGCAAAATTACTCGGTTCAAAGGGCCCGGGTCATAACTGTTTATCCTGCGGTGTCATTTGGCGGCAAAACTGCTGGTTAGAGGACACATACCACGTCCTTACTGACAGGAGATTGTTTGAGAATAGATCATAGTGATATTCACGCTAGGCATTAGTTTTATGTGAGCTGAAGCAAATTTCAATTTGTCCACCTAGAAAAACTGTTGTGGAGGGTGGATGAATTTTGTTTTAAGCATTGATGGTTGAATTTCCATTTTTTAAATATTTGGAATTGATATTTTTCTTGAAGTTTGGATTTTGGGGACATTTGGGATGACATTTTAAATATTTGAAATTAACCCCTTCGGTTGAGATTTACAATCAATACGGCCATCATCGGGGTGATGGGGTGTCATTTGAGAATTTTATTGATTGGACATTGTCAACTCTGCCTACTTGTCAATAGAGGATCAAGTCCATAGGCTTTGCGGTTTTGTTAATGGATTTTCTTTGTTGGAGGCCTTGAAGGGCTTATATGAACGTATAAAATAAATATTCCGGTCGACACTCTGATCGTACATCTGTTTAATCATCCGAGCCGTCTCAACTCCCATCTATCTATATAGAAGGATCGGACTCGAACTACGTTCATTTATGGACCCGCGCAGCATTCCTAGACGTCATGTATGTACCAATAACAAGCTCGTCTGGTGCCCATGCGGGTGTTTGAGGGCATTTTATAACTATTTGTTGAACATTGTCGACTCTTACTTACCTGCTTAAGAGGATCGGGTTAAAATTTATATAAGGTATGCAAAGAACAAGTACAAGTTCAAGAACAGTAATATATGAACAATTCTCACACAAATGCAATTTAAGAAATGGAACGAACATTTGTTTCAATAAATAGTTTACCTGTGCAGACACAACCACTAAAGCAATCCATTTGCACAATTCATAATTAGATATCACAAACTTCTTTAACTCATCAAATCTTCCTGTGGGATCTTCTGGGAAATCCTTGTAAAATAGAAAATCGAAATTAAAACATTAAGGTGGAATTAGAGGAATTCAAGAAGGATTTCTAAGGGCAAGGGCACAAAAAAATACCTTTTCCCAGACCTTGTTCAAGAGCACATCTGCAGAAATTGCAGCTTCCATCATGACTAACAAAAGCACAAATACGATGTACTAAAGGCAATGTAAGGCTATGAAACAAATTCACTTAATTCAAATAGCAACCATCATACGAAATAAGCAATTTAGAGTATATCCTTCCTCAAATAAATTAGGGTTCTCCAAATGATGCCTAATGGACCAGTTAAAGATGATTGATAGCATGAGAAGTTTTGCAATGATGGATAGCCTGCAACATCCAACCTAGGTAGTTGGGATAAACTGGTGATGATGATGAATAGTCTGCTAAATTAGAACAAGTCTTGGCTGCTCCAACCACAAAAAGACATTAAATTGCAAATAGTGATTCTTAAACTGTAATTATACATAGCTATACAAGCTCCAGTAGCCTTAGGAAACCTATTAGTTTACTCATAAGAAATATGATACTTGCAGAGGCAGCATAAGAAATTAATTACCTCAACTTGATTCACTCATGCCAACATAATTGCACTAGAGAAAAGAAAAAAAAGCAAAAGAAATGAAACTAATATTAAAGAAAAACAATGTTGCCTTTCAAGGAAATACAAGAAATCATCAAAATCATCCTGGTACACTTTAGAAACAATATCCGCAAACCAGGCCCTACCATATATAAGTAGGCTTACTAAACTTTATAAATCATTCCTATGTTGGGGAAATATTAAAGGTTAAGGCTTAATTTGGGACGGCTTTTTTGTTGTTAATTAAAGCAGCTTTCTAGTATAAAAAATTTAATTTGTTTACTTGAAGAAACAACAAGAGAGTCGTCCCAAACGAAGCCTAAAACTCAACAAAAAAGCAGAGAAATAGTTCTTAGGATCCAGTTGTTTGCTTGAAGTTGCGAAACACATCTTGAAAAAGTGATGAATATAGTAGATTCCATCATTATATGGTTAGAATATATCCAATATGGAGAATCTGCGCATAATTGCAGGGACAACATTTAGGCACCTGGCCTGCCCTGGAGACAGTTTGATGCCCAATCGTGTTTCAAAATCCATAAATGTACCCTCATTTTATATATACTGCTTTCCTTGGTATTTGGCAAGAAGAGGAATAAATTACGTAGGCTACCAATTACAGTTCAAGAATACTGATCTAGTGTGAGATGAATAGGCATTGTAGCTTAATAGAAGGTTCCTTTACTACAAGGCAAAAGCTAAATAAAGATTAAAATAATTACAGTACAAGATTGCATAAGCTTTCTGTAAAGAAGGGAAAAAATGGTTCAAAACTGAAAATGGTAACACTCTTCAATATTCATCTACCATGCGTTTATTAGATGATCTTTCAGAATATTAATCAATGAGCCAATACACACTTTTTTGCTATACAACGACATACTCTTAAAATAAAGTTCCAAAAAACAAATAATGCAACTAAGAATGGCTGCACCTTCAAACATTGATATCTTGAATGATTTCAAATCGACTGAATGACAATCTACTCTTTGAAAGTAATAGAAAGATACATAAACACATTATGAATAAGTAAATGCGAATCCTTTTCATCTCAGGAAAGGATACCGAAGAAAGGCAACAGCCATTAGCAGTTTCAGCAGAAATATGTCCAGCGCAACTTATGATGCAAAAATAAACACCTAAACCAAGACAAGTGTAAATAAACCTGCATGTAAATAAAGTACCAGATCAGAGAAATTCATAACAAAGATTGTAAATATTATATCGACATTTGACACCTGGTACTTGGCAAGAAAGAGGCATGGTCAAAATGAAAATGATCTCAACTTATAATCATATATTATTTCAAAACCTTAATTCAAAGTAACTTTCATGACTAAAGAATAATAAATTTTCTTTTAAAGTTTCAGTGCTTGCTTCAGAAGCATCTGAATTTAAGCGTTTGACAAAGCTAATATTGCAACCACATTATGTAGTTCATAGATTGCTGTAAGGTAAAAATCAAAAGAACAAAGACACAAAAAAGGTAATGGTTCACTGTCATCAATCATAAAATAGAAACCAAGGCATTGCAAGCTTAGAGGTAAACATCTGGCTTCTAAACAAGTCCAGTGTTCAAAGCTCAGCTTCATAAAAAATACAGTTATTCGGTTGGACTTCAGAGAAAGAAAAAGAAAAGAAACATATCAGAAGAAAACATGCTTACCAAAAAAAGAATAAATAAAGAATGAAAACATGCATTCCAAAACTAAAACATTTATAACGTTAACATATAAGCATCAAAACATTCCTCTATTATTGCCAACCTTTCAACAAATAACTAAAGTATTTTTGCACCATAAAATCTATGGAACCCTCTACCTGAGCTATAACTGAGACAAAATTTCTATCTTCTAAAAAATAAAGTAAGAAAATTTCTCAATATCAGTCAGTTCTTGATGCAAGAGATAATATAATATGAAAGAACTTTTGTTTTGGTCCTTCAGATCTATTCAAGGCTACAGTGAATAACTAACAATGACGTGTCTTAAATAAAAAAACACTAGTTTCTTTTCAAACAGAAAAATTAAAGCACTAGCATGAAAACGAAATTTAACTAAGAATAACAAGTATGAAAGGAAGAAACCAATAGAATATGAATTCCCTGAACTACTAAGTCAACTCCCAGACGATATCTAATTACTTAGAAAATGATATATGGTAAACAAAGAAGCCATTAGAAGAGGCCCACGCAAGACAAGATGGATACCAAACACCGCCACCACACCAACAAATTAAAATGAGAAAGGAAAGACATTTGCAAAACTCCAAAAAACAACAATGCCATATCGCTGCATCTTATTTATTATAAAAGTGAATCAGAGAACACAAGGTGGGAGCATTTGCCGCACGGTGACGAGAACAGAGAAATAAAATAAGATAAAATGAAGAGGAACGACATAAGTAAGCGGACAAACCATGGAAGGGTGGAATCAGGACCTGAGGTCCAAAAGCTGTGAACTTGTTTATACCAAACCCTCAACATCCATAAGGAGTAGAGGGTCATTCCCATGCCCATCAATCCAATCACAGAATTCACGAGCTTCAATAGAAATTGCAAACAAGACCTAACGAATCTCAGCATTTTGCCCTTCCTCTCCTGTGTCTCTCTCCAGAAGATGAACAAAATTTTATCTTTTTACCTGAAGGATCAAAATGGAAAGCGAAACAAAAAATGGAAAATAATGAATATATCGGAGGATTATTAGGACTATACTATATCTAGAATATTCAATAGGTATAATTGTAATTAAGCTCATCTGTATTGATATGTCTATATATATAGCTCAACATCTGTATGTAAACGTTAACTGAAAATATATCAAAAAGGCTTTCTCTGTTTCTCTATTCTCCTCCTTCTCCTGTACTTCTTCATGGTATCAGATTTGGCTTCGATCCTCAGCCATGACTGATTCAGCTTCTTCCTGCCTTCAAGATCGGAGTGATAATCTTGCGTCCGATGAAGCGACGGTCTCGGCGAATCTAAAATTCGTCGTTTCAAATCTACGCAATCTGGTTTCTTCTTCTTTAACACCGGATAATTTTCTCATTTGGAAGTCGCAAATCTTGAAGACTCTGCGGGCAAACGGATTTCTGAAATTTCTTGACTCAAAATTCTTGCCGCCGTCTCAGTTTGTGCAAACCCAAGATGGCACGTCGGCGATCAATCCGGCATACGCACAATGGATACAGACGGATCAAAATCTCTCGGCATCCATCTGTTCCACAATATTCGACTCGATTCTTCCTTATGTCATTTATCTCGAATCAACGGCGGAGGTCTGGTCGGCGCTCGAAACAAGATTTCAAGCTACGAATCGATCAAAGGTCATTCAACTGCGCAATTCGCTTCACAACGTCTCTCTAAAGAACAACTCCATGACAGTTTATCTGTCTGAGATAAAGGCCATAGTCGACCAGATTGCTGCGGCGGGTTCCTCGGTTGATCCAGAGGACATTATTCATCATATTCTTAATGGCTTGCCACCGATGTATCAGTCGTTCAAATCTTCTATAAGAACGTCTGCTTTGCCTCTCACTCTGGATCAAATATATCCACTACTGCTGAGCGAAGAAATAAACTTAGCCGCGGATGCAGTTCGGTTCTCGTCAAATCAAGATCCGACCATGGAGCTCTTTAATACCAGGGGTAGAGGACGCCGACCAAAAGGAAAGGCCTCCTACAACCCGTCGACGTCAAACAATGTAAATAATTTCCAGCCACCTACTACTACGTCCATACCAAGGAACAACTCAGCGCCTGCTGTTCTTTGCCAAATTTGTTTCAAGAAAGGGCATTCGGCACAAACATGCTGGCATCGCCTGAACATCCAGTATGTGCCGTCCGTCAAGAACACTAATTCTGCACTTGTCGCTAGCTCAGACGCGCCGGACACCACTTGGTTTCTGGACTCAGAGGCCTCCTCTCATCTAACAAATTCAATGGATAACATGTCCATTGCTCAATCATATCACGGTGATGATAATATTACAGTAGGCAATGGCCACACTGTTCCTATTTCGCATACAGGGTCCGGTATCTTGCCGACCCCTAATCGTAAGCTGCGCTTGTCGCAACTCTTGCACACTCCTTCTCTTAAATTTAATCTGCTATCTATTTCTCAATTAACTAGAGATAATAACATTTCAATAATTTTTGATCCAAATGGTTTTACGTTGAAGGATCTTGCGACGCAGCAAACTTTACTCACAGGACCGTGTAAAGGAGGACTTTATCAAATTCCCATACAGTCGCAGACACCAAATCAAGCCGCGCTCTCAGCCGCTACTACAGCTTCCCACGTCTGGCATCACAGACTTGGACATCCTCACAAACGCATTTTTGATTTTATTTCGCAAAGTTATCCTGTATTGCATATGAATAGACAACTGAATTCTTGTTCTTCTTGTATTGCTTCTAAATGCCATAAACTTGTATTTGACAATTCTTCGAATCGTCAAACTCAACCGCTTTCAATCATCCATTCGGATGTTTGGGGGCCGGCTCCTATTTCTTCAAACCAAGGTTTTAGATTTTACGTTATATTTGTCGATGATTTTTCTAGATATTGTTGGGTTTTTCCTCTTCAATATAAATCAGATGTTTTTCTCACATTTGTCAATTTCAAGACTCAAATTGAAAAACTCACGACTAATCAAATCAAAATCTTGAGAACAGATGGTGGGTCTGAATATGTTAATGCGTCATTCAAGCAATATCTTACTCAAAACGGTATTGTTCATCAACTGTCATGTCTTTACACACCGGAGCAAAATGGGCTGGCGGAGCGGAAACATCGGCACATAATAGAAACTACAAGAACCTTGCTACACACGGCACATGTTCCCCATGTCTACTGGCCTGAGGCGGTAAACACATATGTCTTTCTTATCAACAGATTACCCTCAGGAACTCTCAACAAGCAGACCCCGCTCGAACTTATGTTCAACAAGACACCGAACTACTCTGGACTGAAGGTGTTTGGATGCGAATGCTATCCGCTGCTGCCTCCGCATACAGTCCATAAACTTCAGCCGAAATCTCAAAAATGCATATTTTTGGGATATTCAGATCAGTACAAAGGATATCGATGTTTGAATCCTATCACAAATAAAATCACGATTTCCAGACATGTTCATTTTCTTGAGAACAGTTTTCCGTTCTCAGAACAGGTGTTGTATACCAATGATACCGCTACAAATATTTGTCCTTTACTATTAACTCATGCTTCTATTAATATCAGGTCTAATTCTAACAACAACATGAGTAAGAATCAAATGCCAATATCCAAGGTCACCCAGCAACCTGTCCCGGCGTCTGAGACTACTCAATCACCACCAATGTTCGGTATATCTGAGGCTCCTCCGCCTGCTACTAATCAGAATAAGTCTCACCCGATGACTACTAGAAGTAAGACTGGGACATTAAAGCCAAGATCACGTCTGAACTTGATTCACAGTCACAATGTGGCAGAGGTTTCCACTGATCCTATGAAATTTACGGAAGCTTCGAAGTCTCTGCATTGGCGTCAAGCGATGGCAGCTGAAGTTCTAGCCTTACAAAAACAAGGAATGTGGTCTCTAGTCGAACCACCGGTGAATGCTACGATACTTGGTAGTAAATGGACATTTAGAACCAAATATCTCACGGATGGATCAATAGGAAAACACAAAGCCAGGTTGGTTGCTCAAGGAAACAATCAAGAGTATGGGCTCGACTATACTGAAACTTTCAGTCCGATAGTCAAATTACCAACTATAAGAATAATGTTGGCACTGGCGCTATATAACAATTGGACTGTACAACAACTGGATGTTGCCAATGCATTCCTACATGGCAAATTAACTGAAACCATCTATATTAGGCAACCAAAGGGCTTTGAAGATAGCTCAAAACCGGGACATGTGTGTCGGCTAAATAAAGCTATTTACGGGCTAAAGCAAGCGCCGCGTCAGTGGTACAATACGTTCACGTCTTTTCTGCTTAAACTTGGATTCAATCACAGTCAAGCGGATCCGTCACTTCTCATCTATGCCAAAAATCAAGTACAAATTTTCTTACTTATTTATGTTGATGATATCTTAATCACAGGAAATAGCTCTGCTATGATATCATCAGTTCTTACGACTCTGGATTCAGAATTTGCAATGAAACATCTCGGCGAGGTACATGACTTTCTTGGCATTAAGATTACTAAAACTGACTCATCCTATTTCTTGTCACAGGCCAAGTATGCATACAAGATTCTTCAACTAGCCGATCTCACTCAATGCAATTCCTTATCCAATCCGACGTGCACAAAGATGCCGGCAGACATTAAACCGGACACATTCTCATCTGATCCAACGGTCTACCGACAAATTACAGGAGCTTTGCAATATCTAACGTTGACGCGTCTAGATATATCATTTAGCGTCAATTTATTATCCCAAAACATGCATAATCCGGACTCTAAACATTTTTATCTTCTAAAACGACTTCTACGTTATATTAAAGGCACTTTATATTTTGGTCTTCCAATTACCAAAACTGATCTTGTTTTAAAATCTTTTTCAGATGCGGACTGGGCTGGAGATCCAATTACCCGGAAATCAACTACAGGATTCTGTTCATTTCTTGGCAGAACGCTGATATCGTGGACAGTGAAGAAGCAGCGCACGATATCAAGATCTTCAACAGAGTCCGAGTTTCGTGCTCTTGCCGCTCTTACTTCAGACATCATATGGCTTAGGAGACTTCTACATGACTTCGGCATTCCGCAGAACTACTCAACAGACTTATTCTGTGATAATATGTCGGCGATAGCTCTCGCTAACAATCCGGTATTTCATTCGAGGACCAAACATATAGAGATTGATCAAAAATTTTTAAGAGATCATATTCAACAACACAACATCAATCTACATCCAATAAGTACGATTGATCAAATTGCCGACATCTTTACCAAGCCGCTATCCACCCCAAGGTTTCATCAACTTCGTCTCAAATTGACGATCATTCAAGATCCATCAATTTGACGGGGCATATTAGGACTATACTATATCTAGAATGTTCAATAGGTATAATTGTAATTAAGCTCATCTGTATTGATATGTCTATATATATAGCTCAACATCTGTATGTAAACGTTAACTGAAAATATATCAAAAAGGCTTTCTCTGTTTCTCTGTTCTCCTCCTTCTCCTGTACTTCTTCAAATATTACAAGTTTTTTCTTCAAACTCAATTTTGTATCCACTATCAATCAATTTTCTAATGCTTAAGAAATTATATGTAAGTTTTGAAACATATATATAAAACATTATGTAATAACTTTACATTATCATCATTTGTCCCAACAGTAATGTTTCCATTGTGTAAAACCTCTTAAGTAAAAAAAAAAAATTAAACTCTTAAACATTGAGAGATCATTTGTTGTAATGATTGTAATTTCATTATGAAACTCTACAGTTAAGCGTGTTCATCATGAGAATTTTTTAGGATTGGTGATCTCTTGAGAAGTTGCACAAATAGGATTTTTTTTAGAATAATATTTTCTTTCTCTTTTATTTAATCTCTCCTCATGATACATTAAAAAACTCATCA